TTTTTGCATGTAGAAAGCCAAAGCAGTATTATTGCAATCCCATGACTGCTGAGGCAGCAATCTGTTTTATTTCTTTCTTCTTCTGACTTTGATAATCTGTACAGAGATGCAATGATAACACAATTATGCAGTATTTTAGTCTTAAAACTGGCCAAATGCTATTTTAAACTTGTATAGCTCTATTGAAGTCAATGGATCCCTGCCATGTTACTAATAGTATACTTGGCCTAACAACTCTACAGAAACACTTTATACATATAAATCTAACAAGTGCATTTCTAGTTCTTATGTCAAATTCCTATGTATTTGAGTGTAGTGTATTGTTTAATGACTTGTCTAGTAAAAAAGCTGTGTGTTATAGGGACTCGCTGTGAAATCCTGGCCCCATCAAATCAATGGCAACACTCCCATTGACTTTTCGGGGCCAGGATTTCACACACAAGAGCTTTTATGAACAGAATGATATATTATTCAGGTGGAGAGACTCCTTAACTTTTCAGTTATGCAATTGTAAAGCCAATGGATCTGGGTCATCAGCAGGTAGAATTGAACCTGGGAATCATAGGGGCTAAAGCCATGAACCTCTCTGTATCAGCTAAAAGCCAGCTAGTTCTTAGTTACGGCTGTAGATCAGACTTCACTTTCCCTAGTGGTCTCAGAGCCCTTGGGTTACACAATGATGAAGTTAAAGGTATTTCCAGAAATCACATCACAGCTATATTTGTTGTCAGCCAGAATTTTGTTACCTTTCCCCTCCCATTTCACCTTGAGAACCTCTCTATGATTTGCTAGGGTGTGGACCTCTAAATATATCTATTTTGACAGGGGGAATGTTGAGTAGTGGATAAGGCCCTACTTGAATTTTGGGATAATTGTCAAAAATTGTATCTGAATTGCAGACAAGCCATGAAAAATTGTGGAAAAGTAATAATGAACTTTGTTACTCGCAGTAATAAAGTCCATCATTACCTTTCAGTCATTTTCCACTGTTGGGCACTCTGGGGCTGACAGCAGAGGCTCAGAGCTGACAGCTGACAGCAGGAACAGGAGGCTGAAAGTGGGGCGCCTGCTGTCGGCAGCCTGAGTAAGGCTGAGAGTAAGGCTTTGGAATTGACAGTGACTATCTGGAACAGAGATCGGGGGTCATGCTGTCGGCCACCCCTCGGTCCCAGGGTGGCAGAGGCTCCCATTGTCAGTCCCATGTATGGTGGGGTTCCTGCTGTCAAAATTGCAGTGGAAGCGTAATACTGTGACATCACCAATTTCCACAATATCACAAGTTATGTAAGGTCTTAGTACTGGATTAGTTTCCTTCCATCTCTGCGCTGGGTTACTGGGCTGGCAAAATCTACATTTTGTTTAGTTACTCTCCAGGATATTTGCAACCCGTCTGTGAAGATCTTCCACAGATGTCTGTCTCTCTGACTTGTCTCTGTAGTTACTAATGGCACTATTTGCACCAGGCCAGAGGCCTGATCCTAACTAAAATGAAGCATGGGGTCTTAGATTTGGCCTGTATCACATTTGGTGGTCTGAGGAGAGTTGGCTAGTTTGCCTGCTGCTGGATCTCTTCCCTTGTCTCCAGTTGCTAAATCATAGAAGAAACATAACATCCATATGCTTCAGATTAACCATACCAGTACGTGAGAGACTGGAATGCTGCAAGCAGTAAATAGGGACAGTGAACATTATTTTATTTAACCTAACATTAGAGCATATTGTCCATCTCTCCTCCTGAGTGTCTAAAGGCAACAGTAAAACTAGCTCAAGAGTGTAAGAGCAAGTCATGCATAGTTATAGACTGCATGCTAGATCAGCTTAAGACCATAAGACGGGCCATACTGGGTCAGACCAAAGGTCCATCTAGCCCAGTATCCTGTCTTCTGACAGTAGCCAACGCAAGGTGTCCCAGAGGGAAGGAACAGAATAGGTAACCATCAAGTAATCCATTCCCTGACACCCATTCCCAGACTCTGACAAACAGAGGCTAGGGACATCATTCCTCCCCATCCTGCCTAATAAGCACGGATGGACCTATCCTCCATGAATTTGTCTAGCTCTTTTTTGAGCTCTGTTAAAAGTCATGGTCTTCACAACATCCTCTGGCAAGGAGTACCACAAGTTGACTGTGCATTGCATAATGAAATACTTCATTTTGTTTGTTTTCTACCTGCTACCTATTCATGTCATTTGGTGACTCCTAGTTCTTGTTTTATGGGATCAAATAAATACTTTTTCCTTATTCACTTTCTCCCCACCATTCACATTTTTTTGGCTTCTATCCCATCCCCCTTTAGCCTCCTCTTTTCTAAGATGAATAGTCCCAGGCTTTTTAATCTCTCTTAACATGACAGCCATTCCAAACCTCTAATACATTTTGGTGCTCTTTCTGAACTTTTTCCAATGCTAAGATTAAGGATGTTAAAATACGATTATCTAGCCAATCACGTAATCGACACAATTTGTATTGACCACGTGATTAGTCGATAAGCGCCTCTGCAGAGCCACAGCGGGGATAGCTCCAGAGAAGCTGATTCGAGCCAGGAGTGAGCAGTTCTGGCTCGTGCCAGCCCCAGAGGCACCCGCATTGTGGCTCTGCACTTTAAATGTACCAAGAGCTGCTGGGCTCTTACTACATTCAAAATGAAGAGGCACAGCGATTGGCACAAGCCAGGACTGCTTGGTCCCAGCTCATGCTGAGTCCAGCAGCCTCTGTTCATGGCAGCCATGTCTTTTCTATAAGTATCGTAGCCATTGCTTTCTCCCACAAAATGTCCGCTTACTATAAATTGCCCTCAGCTTCTCACTACATAATACTTCAGTGTGTGCGGTTCCTGAGTGGACATACGTCAGCACAATCCTAATGAAATTAATGGAGCTATCCTGACTTATGGCAGTTGTTCTTGGGAACTAAAGTAGAGGTTTATATTCTTCCTTCTGTCAGAAAGAACAGATATTGGTGATGATTAAAAGAGCGGGCTTGTCACTAACCAGATTATTCTTTCTGCAGCCCAATTAAACTATGCTTGTGACAGAGTCAGAATCATCCTTTCAATTTAGTTAAATTGGCACAAAGCCTTATGTGTAGAAAAGGCCAAAGTCTTTGATGTTGCAAATGCTGAAACAAGTAAACAACTTAACTCATGTGACCAGTTACACTGTTTGAAAAGCCAGATGACCTGGACAATCACTTTGATTGAGAGATATTGTCATACAGTGGTTGATGCAAATATTAAAACGGGGCTTGCTTTCATTTGGGGGACTTTATATTTTAATTAGATGGTATAACAGAAGATGGGCATGTCTACACTACAGAGTTATTTTGAAATAACTTATGTTATTTCAAAATAACAAGGCGAGTGTCCACACAGCAAGCATGTTATTTAGAAATAGCAGGCTTCTTATTTCAAAATAATAAATCCTCATTTCACAAGGAATAACACCTATTTCAATTCAAAAGGGGGGGAGAGATAGCTCAGTGGTTTGCGCATTGGCCTGCTAAACCCAGGGCTGTGAGTTCAATCCTTGCTGAGGCCATTTGGGGTAAAAGTTTGTCAGGGATGGTACTTGGTCCTGCTGTGAAAGCAGGGGGACTGGACTCAATGACCTTCAAGGTCCCTTCCAGTTCTAGGAGATAGGCAATCTCCATTAATTTAAAATTGTTATTTCAAAATAGGATGAGTGTGGACACTGCTGCTGTGCTCATTTCCAAATAATTGGCCTCCAGGGCATCTCACAGATGCCCTGGTGGCCACTCTGTCCATACCCCTCAAAACTCTATAGTTTTCCTTCCCCTGCCATTTTTAAAGGTGCAGGAAGAAGGGAAAGTGCTAGTGGCACAACAAATCCCTGCTCGCACTGTGCCACAGACCAGCACCCTGCCAACCTTCCCTGTTGCCATGGCAGACCCCAACACTCCCATCGAGCCCCACATGGCTGCAAGCACACCAGCAGCCAACGCTAAAGCCCCTGGCTAAGAGCATAAGAGAAAGGCAACCTCATGGACTGACGTGAAAATCCTGGATCTCGTAGGTGTCTGGAAGGGTCAATCAAACCTACAAGATCTCTGCACCAGGCAGTGAAATGCTGACATCTACAGCTGGATGGCCGACAGTGTGGTCCAGAGGAAGCACGGCCGCACTCTGGACCAGGACCAAATGAAGATCAAATTGCTCTGCAGGCCTCCACCAAGGCCAGAGAAAGAAGTTCTTGGTTGGGAGCAGCATCCCAGACCTACCACTTTTACTCCCAGCTGGATGGCAACTTGGGGGGTGGGGGGGGCAGGTCGCCTCCCCTTATAGTCAACTCTGGCCATTGTCAGCTTCCAGAAGGGCGGTGCTGTGGAGGAGGATGACAAAGACAAAGAGTGGGCGGGGAGGGGGAAAGGAGGCCAGCACTAACTCCATGCCTGCCAGCCAGGAGGTGGTCATCAACCTGGAGCCCAAACCCCCCTCTAAGGATGTCTCCCAGGCTTTGGACGATGCCAAGGGAG